ATTCTGAAAGTGAAAATAAATACCATATACTTCAATAATTACTGAACTGAAGTACTGAAGTAAATTACATATAAAATTTTTATATCAATTTTACACCATTCCCGAAAAACTAGAAATTATGTTACGGGTCTATAATCGTATGAGTTCTTAGTTATGAACTATCCAAAAGCTATGTCTTTGCTGTTCGATCAAGCGTTGCGCACATTAAACCTAACCTCCAAAAGGCACAAACGTCATTCACTTTAGTTAGACTTCACGTATGTGTTAGACACCAGGAAATTACAATTATGCAATTATCATAAACCAATTGATCTTCTAACTGATTGTTAAATTATAAATGAGTTAATTGAAACTCTAAATTCGGAAACCTACAGTATTGTACAAAAGACACTGAATTTTTTTTCATAATTACGTTTTTTACTACAATTTTTGGAAAAATTAAAGAAAAGTTTTGTTTGTTGTTAGATGTTGAAGAAGTATATATTGTATAACACAATGCTATGGCCTCTATATTTTAGCAATAAAATTTTCAATGATAAAAATATATAATTTTGAAAAGAACGGAATCTACTAATAAAAATTGATATAAGAAATACATAATTTATATTATAAGTGTGTTTTAGTGTTCATTAGTCTACTCAAACTGCACTACAGCAAAGATTAGTTTTTTTCTTTTTTTAATGATTTTTCAATCATGCTTTTGTTCTATTTTAAAAATTATGTAAATAATCAATGTCTATTTATTTATCTTAGATAATTTTATTATCAAATATAATCTATTTATATCATTTTTATTTATGTATATAAACTAAAAAAGAAAATTAAGATTAGATTGTCTTTAATCTGAATGCCAAAGATAAAGTTATACCCGGAAAAGTGTTTTGTCAAGTGCAAAATATAATGAATTTGAGAAAGTAATGGCAATTAGAGTATCTGGTTGTGATAGATTAATTTTAAAATAGAATTTGAAAATAACTAAAAATAAAATTAAAAACTAAAACAATTGAATTGGAGTAAAAAGCAAAAAATATATAAAGAGTAAAAAGTACTTACAATTAGTTAATCTTAGTGTTAAATTAGAACATTCTAATAATAAATGGAATCAGGAATGTAATCATGGTAATGCACTACACTATGTAATATACACATTAAACTTGTAATTAAACAATATTTTACAAAATACTAACTTAAAAAAAATCACATATAGATAGTGTGTAATGTATGTGTTGTTTGTAAACTGGTTGAAGACATAATGGAGAAAAGATTTTTTTTAAATATTTTTACCAAGATTCTATACATGTGTGGAGCGAATTGCGAATCCTTTGCGACATTTTTATTGTTTTGTGAGAAATTTGGAATAAATAAAAGATATTGGAGCCGCACAGCATGTTCAATTCATTTTGCTTATTTATTTCCTTATTGTTATAAATAGCCATAAATGATTCTTCTATAATTCTTCGTTTACATAAATTTTCGAATTGTAGTACAGTCGGGTTAGAAAAGTCTATATTGTGTTTTAAAGTATTAATGTGGTCCGCAAGCATAGTTTTAAATTGTCTGTGATTTTTTACAATTATTTTTGTGTCGTTGTATACGTTTAATTAAGTTCTGGCTTGTTTCTCCTTTGTAAATTAAATTACAGTCCAGGCAATTTATTTGGTAGACGAGATTTTTAAGTCATTAAATGTTAAAAGGGGTTTTGGTTTAAGTAAAATAGTGCTAGTCGTCTACTATATATATTAATATAAATAAATATTATAATTAATAAATACTATATATTGCAAGGTAATTCGTTAATAAACTTAGCAGTAACACGGTTTTGATTAGTTACTATTAAAAAAAATATTTTTGTATTTTATTATTGTTTGAAATACCTACATTACCGATTGCCATTTCATTTAATGCTAGTGGATAATTACCGAACACTAAAAATAATTAGTCTATTATTAAATTTCAATCACAAATAGGTACAATATTCCAAATTGTAAACATTACGAATTCTAATTTCCGTCTCACAATGTATGGCGCGAACTATAAAAATTTCCATGTGTCATTTCTAGAGCGTGTGTGTATATTTTATACCTCTTCACGTCAAAATCATAAAACAATTTACTAAAAAATTAAATTTAGACTACGAAACGTACTTAAGGCATTTGTTCAGCAATACGTGTGTACACTGTTTAGTGTTTGTCTTGTATAATCCAGTAATTTGTTCTATGTATGAACAGTTTTTTCTTCGTGACAATGTACACAAGAAACGAATGTGCATGAAGAGCGAACTCTTGGCATATACTGTAATAAAATAAAAGATCTGTTTGCTGAATGTACAAGTACGAGTGTATTTATTTCGTAATATATAGTTTTATTGTATTATATTGTATGTAGCTCGCTCTTTCTGCCTAAACAAATTTGTGCTGTTTGCTCGCACTTTTGACGTTTTATAAGAAATGACATTCGAAATTATACATCTGCAAAATTTGTACCAAGTTGACTAAAAACAAGTATCATAACACAAAATGACAGCGTCAGAAATACAATTTGTGGGGGAGGCGTCCATTAGTCACGTGATCTATTTGTTAGAGATTATTGGACCCTCCATCCCCTTTGGTGATACGTAGTGATATTTAGAATTGCCCCTTTCCCCCCCCACCAAACATCACGCGTATTTTTAGTTAGTAAAAATTTTCCGAACGAATTTTTCGAATTTACGAAAAAAACGTATTTGTAATTTTTTGTGAGGTATGCTAAAATATTCAGAAACCTGTAAAACGTGAGGATCTGCAAAATTTTCATTTTTGATTTTTGACCCATTACTAGAACTTACCCTACGAGAATATAATTTTTATAATAAATCCATTTTATATTCCACTTTTATGAATTCTTATTAGAACAAAAATCTTGCAGTTTGCTCATTCAATGGCAAATATCTAACAATAAACATTGTTTTCATTAAAGCTATTGTTTTTAACTTCAAGAATTCTAAATGTACAATATTATAGAAATAATCGTAGATGTTGATTAAGAATTTCTTATAAGCTGTACCACATGATGGTATTATAGCATAGCAATATAGTTATTATAGCAATCTAAGAGTAGGTAGCTAATGTATTGGATATGAAATATTAGAGAAAAGTCACCAAATATAGAATACCATTTTGTTTTTGAGATGTGAAAAAACTTCATATTAATTAAATCAGTTTAATGTTTTTACTAATCAGTGATACAGTGATCATTTATATGTAGTAATTAACAGCCTTTAATCAAATATATTAGTTATCAAATTGCATTCTAACACAAAAACAAAATCACATTTTTTTTATAACTCTATTTTATTCAGCAATCAGGAATACATAAGAATTCCTATAAGCTAAAATTTAGCTGCTAAATTGACAATATTTGAGAGCGATGTCTAAGAAAAACTCTAATGAGATCTTCTTATTTTAACAATTAAAAAGATAATTATATATTGAAGTTAATCTAAGACTAAATCTAAAGGCCATTGACGTTTCAATCTTCTAATGCCAAATGGTTGGATAATGTCGCCTATTGATGGGTTTGAATGTGATTCCAGTTTACGTTTGTATTTTTTCTTAAATTCTTTGAACGTTAATTGCACCGTTTTCATGTTGAGAATGATTTCATTTGTAACGTACCACGGAGAATTAAGTATTGTACGTAAAATTTTGACTGAGTTCTCTGCATTATAGCTATATTTGATTCGTAAGCACATCCCCAGAGCTCAATTCCGTAGGTCCAGATTGGTCTAAAGACTGATTTATAGAGCAGCAACTTATTTTCAACAGGGAGCTTACGAGAGATTTTTTGCGCAGTAGCCAATCAAATTCTTTCATTTTGATCATTATTTGCTGCTTTTTTGTTTTTATGTGGCTTTTCCAAGTCACAATCATAAATCAACATAACTATAACAAAAATGGACATTAATATCTTGGTCCATCAACTCAGAGTTTTCTTTATTCTTCATCTTTATTTTTCTTCTTATGTTTGTTTTTCTTCGAAGTTTTCTTCTTATTCTTCTTTTAGTTTAGTTTTCTTATCATTCTTTGTCTTGACTAATTTAATTTCTTTTCCTTGTTTCTTCATTTTTTTATTTTCTAAATTATTTTTGTAGGGAGAAGATGTTTTGACTGCTGCTACAGAATTTTTATCATATATATATATACATATAGTCTTAGAGAAATGAAGATATTCCTTATTAGGATACTATTCCATATGTAGTGACTTTCCTCTATAATTCAAATGTTGAGACCAAAATTACTGGTATATTCAACTTCTATAATTAGTTGATATATGCACATTTGATATATAAATATATTTGTTTGTAATATGCTCTATTGTTTTTATGTTCTTATTTGTCTTCTTCTACTTCCTCAAGTTCCTGATAATACTCATGACTCATGAGCATAGAAACTAATAATTGTTTTGTTGATATCAAAAATCGCAATTTCTGTTTTTAATTAAAACATTTCATTTAACCATATACTCGCCTTATATATATTATTCATATGTGTTAAACTAATACACCTAGTGTACATCCCACCTATATTAGTACAAATTATTTGCTTAACCATATGACTTCGCGGTGCTGAGCCCCGAGCTCTCAGTTGATAAGCGCTGCGGCCTGGGTGCTCTCGGTTTCGAAGAGGAAAACACTAAAATACATATTTCAGAATCAGTCAGTCGTGAATCATATCGGACAGTACCTAGATCGATTCTCTGACATGAACTGTAACGATAAGCTCTGATAAGGAAGAATCCAATATTGTTTGCATACGAGTTTGTTTAGTTCTAACCCCCGAGGAGGATAGTGGTCGCGCCAGTGGTAGATTGACTAGGAACACGGTGGAAACGTGTGTGGTTTTAGTTGTTTAGTGGTGTTATGGAAGTTATGCAAAATCTAAACTGTAATTCATTTGAGTCAAAAAACTGATTTTTTAAAAAACAATTTAGTGAAGTGGTCCCAAACTGAAGTTCAGGTTGCTACTTGTTGTTGATTGTTTTGTGGAGGAAGTAGTATCAAGGTTTTCATGAGGTGAGTGGTGATGGAAATTCTTGGAAAATGACGCATTTTGTGTAAAATCACTTAAAGTACTTATGGCGTGAAACCAAGAATACTTTATAATCCGAAATGCAATTTTACATACAAAATGCATACAAAAATATCGTTTTTTTTAAATAATGTTACCCCTTGAGTAATATTTACGAATATACTATTTGGACATTAAAATAAAAGCAGTACTTAAAGTGGCATTGTAATTGAATCATCATTTAGTAAAAAATGATCATAAACACTTTCAAGGTGTATAAACTAAATAACGCAAATAATTTTATTATTATGATGATAAAAGAACACGAGAGTTTATGAGGTAAATTTGACAACAAATTAGTTAAATTTTGATTATTTTGTTATTTGAATCATCATTTAGTAAAAAATGATCATAAACACTTTCATAGTGTTCAAACTAAATAATTGCTAAAATTTTATTATTATGATGATAGAAGAAGACGAGCAATTCGAGCTTGATGAGGTGCATTTGAAAAAAAATTAGTTAAAGTTTGATTATTTTCGTTTATTATAAATAATTATTAATACGTTTCCTACTATTAAAAAACTTGCATATTTAAAAACTTAATATAATTAACACAATTTACAATAACAGAAAAACAGTACCTTAATTATATGGTTGTTCAAAGAAGCTTTCATAACTGATTTACGTTCTAATATAATGCTATTTATATAAATTACTGATCTTTTTAAAAAAGTATGAAAATTATCACATTTTTTTAAAATCAAAATGTAGTTCAAAACAAACGTTGTAAAAGTTTAAAAAATTTGAAACTAGATCAATAGTCACAGAATACCAAATTCTGATGATTTTGAAAGTTTTACCAAAATATCATATTTTTCAATCCTTACACCTTATGGTAGTATTTGAATATTACAATTATCAGGAATTTTCAGAAAATTTGATTTTTATAAAAGATGAATATTGTAGAGAGTGTAGTTAGAGACAATAAACGAGTAATTAGACATGAGGTTTGTTAATAGAGACGAACGGAGTTAGCATTTAAATACAAAACATAATGTAGTTTACAATAAACTATGCAAAAGTTTAAAAACTATAAAACTAGACCAATAGTCACAAAATACAAAATTCTGATTGTATTCAATCATGGTGAAAAGTTTTACCAAAAAATCAAATTTGTCAATCCTATTACTTCATAGTAGCATTTAAATACTACAATTATCAGGAATTTCCAGAAAAGTTGATTTTTATTAGAGATGAATATTATAGAGAGTGTATTTAGAGACAATAAACGAATAACTAGATATGACGTTAATAGAGTTGAACGAAGTTAGCATTTATCAGAATTAACGTTCAATTTGTTTTTATTTGATCAATTTTTGTTTTCTCTGTATCAAATTCTTTTTATCTGTATAATCATCGCAGTAGACACCGAGCTTTTAAACAAATAGATAATATCGAATTGTCTATTAAAAAATTAATTAAATAAATATAATAATAAAAACATTGGTCGTTTATAATTTGCACTTTTAAACACGCAATTATTAAGAATTAAATTAGTAAGTATGTTGTCTCAAATATTACGCAATGAAGTAGCAGCTTTTTTGTAATTTTAGAATTTATATAAATAAATGGATTAAAATGGTAACATCATGTTGGGTTACATAAAAAACGCATTGGACAATTAATATTTACTTAAAAATTTAAAATATATTTTGAACAAAACAAATATGTATGGCTTGGCGCGCACGTGATATAAAATTAGAGTAAAGCCACATAAATAAACAAAAATTGAACAAAAATTAGAATACTAAACTAATTAGTGAATTTTGAATTAGAAACTATTATGAGAATTTATTAAAAAATACAACCTACATAGTTTTGAAAATATTTAAGAAAATCAATAAAGTAATAATAAAAAAACTTATTTATTGAAGGCAAAATTAACTAAGAGCATTTAAAGTTGTAGCAAATTGTATATATTTATAATCAAAAAAATGATTATATCTATATTAATTATTTTATAAGTTTTCTATATGCACTACCTACTATATTTACAAATCAAAATTCGACAGTTCTATGATGTTTTATTTTTTATTATATTTGAAATTATCATTGCAACTAGCAATTTTTTAAAAAATTAAGTATCCTTGAATTAAAATGAAATATAGTTGTAATATAATTTAATTTTTTGTCTATCCATATTGTATTGGTAATATTCGTTATTTCATTATTTTAAAGTCAACAATTATACTATATATATATATATATATATATATATATATATATATATATTAAAAAATGCGAAATTATAATTATTAATAAAGTACCTCTAAAGATTTTTCTTATTAAATATTCTCTATAATTGCGTTTTTTTGCTTTTTAAACTTCATACCTTTTGAAAACATTTTTAAAAATAGTGTCAAGTACATTGTTACGTTCGCTATAAATTATTTAAGATCAAAAACATTAACAATACTTGGAAATTAAAATTTAGATTTTTTTAACAATGTCATTTAATACGAATTTAATATAAATTTTAATCATTTATTACCCATTAGTAATAATTATCTCTGCTATTATTATGAAATATTAAACCGATCCGCCAGAACATTTTTAGCACGTGTTATTTATTGTTAAACCGTTCTTAAACGAGGACAGTACACATTGCACGAATTTTAATTATGTCACAACTAAAAATTTAAATTTAAATTTGTCGCATTTAGGTCTTCTTTATGCTGTCGGTAACATCTGAACAAATAAAACGAGATTCAAAAGTCATTGCCAAAACACTGAACGACATCGAAAATGTTGTCAGTGTAATATAGAGAAAAATTAAATAATAATATAAGAGATATATAAATTAAATAAAATTGATAACATGATAAAATTAATTTTATCTAAATTTGCAAATAAACAAATCTGAACTTTGAGATTACTACATTAGATACTCATTTTATTTGCATTTTGTCTGACATTAAGATTTTGATAGAATATGAAAAAAACTAAATTACAATTAATTGTTTTTGATACAGATAATGAAGATATAGATCAATGAAACTATTAGTACTTAAGTTTTAAATAACAAAAGTTTTATAATTCCAAGGATTTAAAAGATGTAATATAACGCTATTGAACATTTGCAAAGTTTCATGAAGCTTCTTATATTGACAATTATTTTATATTGGTTTCTTGAATTGGCATATAAACAAATAAAGAAATTAAGCAAAAGGTATCTCTAAAAATAAGTGTAGTATTAGGCACAATAAATTTTTATTTACTTCAACAAGATGAAACTGTACTAATATTAGTATCTGAAGATATAGTTGAATAAATACAATTTTACATATAAGAACTAAAACTGTAAAATCAAGAATCTATATAGTATAAAATGATATACTGAAGTGACAAGCACGTCTTTTACAACTTTCAGAATTTTACCGAATTATCACAATTTATGCCGAAAAGTCTGAGAAATCTAATAATATAACTAAATTCTAAAAGTCTAAATATGTAAACTATTTAAACTTTTATGGTTCTTTTTATTTAAAGCTGTTTAAAAAACCGTATTGATAGACAGACAGGCGGCAGAAGGAATCATTCATGGATCAATCTTTTATTTCTTCAAAAATTATTCAATTACCAAACGTGAAGTTTTTTTTGTTATATAGGTACATATATAATTTATTATTATAAATTATTTATTATATCAAGTAGTTATAGCAAAACTAGTGGTGTGTATGGCATCGTGCCTTAAGGCAAATTGCTGGAACTTCCCGTACTGTAACGAAATGTTCGAGGAATACTGAATGTCTTCAAATAGATTATTATAAATATTGTAACATTGTCTAATATTTATAAGAATTATATGAATTATATGAACTGTGAACATTTTTTTTCCAAAATCAATTATTTTGTTAAGACAAGCAAAAAGTTCTTTGAATCATTTAAATCGGCCGCTTAGTTCTCTCAAAAACTGCCATATTTTGCACATTTAGCCTCGTATCTTTGAAATGGCTGGGCCTGCATTTGCAAAAAACTAATAACCACTTCTCCCAATCATTACTAATTGAATGTTTTTTAGATCATTCAAATCGGATGCTCCGTTCTCTCAAAAACTCGATTTCTATTTTCTGCACTCTTTGCTCTTTATCTCCGTAACTGCTGGACCTGCTTTTGCCAAAAACTAATCAGCACATCTTCTTATTAATAGGAATCGAATGTTTTTTGAAGCATTTAAGTCGGTTGATCCGTCCGCCTGAAAACGTGACCGAAAAATTTATCCATACATACATACACACACACATCCATTTTTTTATAAGGTATGCCAAAATGTTCAGAAACCTCTGAAACGTAAAGATATATAAAAATTTTCATTTTCGATTTTTTTGCGATTACTATAACTTGCCCTGCGGGAAGTTAATTAAATATACATTAAAACCCTCTAGATATAATTATCAAGAACTCCGACTAAAAACGCGTCTTAAGCGAGAAAGCATATTATGTAGGTATGGGACAATATGTTTCAAAATGCAGAGACCGGTGTGAAGTATCAAATTGTCTGCATTGTACCTTCTTAAAATGTTCATAAAGTTTTAAGTGTTGTTCTAAGGAAATAGTTTAAAACACGATTGTTTTAACAAGGTTCTATTGCATTTCTATTAGCAAGATGTATTTGGCAATTTATAATTATTGAAAATTGGTAAAATATAAAGGTGCGAACAATAGGTGAAAAGGTGAGACATGTCTCTAGTCTCATGCAAAGGATTCTGGTCCGGAAATGACATGTCCGGATACAAAACTTCAATAACACCGCGAGAGGAAAATAATACTGCACCGAGCCAAATACGTCGTTTTATGACCAAATAATGAACGAGCGAGCTCATGTTTGCACGGACATGCATCATCTTTAAAACAAATAAATACCTGGAACTCAAACGAATCGGGTTTAATTCATAGTTGAAAAGATAAAAGATTTTGTATCTATAATGCAGCAAAATGAATG